GTTAGTCGATGACTTGAAATGGTAAATTTCCAAAGATTGAGACTTGCCATTGTAAAGCCGAAGATGCCAAGGGGTATCAGCTTGACCCACGACATGACCGTTGTCGTGAGATGAACGCTGTCCATCAGGAGAAATGCCACCGTAGAAACAGTGACAATCGTCCAAGCGAAGTACATGATACTCATCAGCGGATGCTCACGTGTGCCGATAGAGCGAATCGCGGTAAGCGCGACCTGGGAGAACTTCAGTTCGACGCTCACAAGTAATGGGTGGTGAACCTACTGCTCCGCCGCAGACACTGATTAACCCGAATCCAAACCCCATCATCCTGCCTTTGGGGCTACCATCAGCGATAGACTGAGCAGCGCTGGCAAGCGTCGGCTTCGAGCCAAAGAGCGCGTCTGGTTGAACGACGAGTATCACGCCTATCAGCGCGACGAAGGCTCCAATCCGATCAATCACTTCGAAAGTGCCATAGTCAAGATAACGAATCAAGATCATGGCAGTGAGCGGGCCAAGGAAGTTTAAGGCCGTTGCTTCACTAAGCTTAAGGTACATGATGGAAACTAGCAGGTAGCGTGTCAACAAGGCGATCTTACTGAAGATTCATTTCACGACACGATAGTTGATCTTACAATAGAAACCAAATGCCCCAAAAACACCTGCTGCCGCTCTCAAAACTAGCAGCCATCTCAATTCTGGCAGGCCCAACGGGAAGTTGGGAGCTTTCGTGAACCATAGGTAGAATGTGCACGCAGTCCCCGTGATGAGGAACCGGACGAATAGGACTTGGAACGGATGTACTGGGTCTTCGCCCGTCTCGAAAAACTTGGCAAAGCCGTTGAGTGCCGCGGCAGAAAGTTGAGATGCTAGCACTAGCATCGACGGCCTGTGCCGGTCCAAGAACGAGCGACTCAGGCCTTTGTCCATATTGCAGAGCCTGAGAGAGAATAGCAGATTGTGGTTCGTAGAGACGTTTCTTCCCCCTCCCAGCGTCTACCAAGAGATCTTTTCCACAAAGTTGCTTACCGTAACTCAAAGGGTTCCTTGTTCTTCCTGCTCCGAAGAGGCAAATGGACACAATGCCCGGAAAGTCTGGAACAAAGGGGTTGGTGGCATAAGGTTTCGGAAACTCGAGTATGAAACCATAAACAGGACCTCGGCGCGACGCTATCCCTGGATTGTTCTGCTCCGTGCGTTGACTCGCGAACTCGTCATGCCCCCCATGCCCCCCATGCCTCCCGGCTCCGCCCGCTCGGACCGAACTACACCACCTCAGTCCACTTTTCGATCCGGAGGGTCAATGGAATAACGGCAACGCGAAAGGGGGGACTCGGATCCGAAGATGAAGGGAAGGACGTTGGGTGCCAAATATGCAAATCGCTGCGGATGAAATTGTGTGTTGAGCTGAATGCTGAAGGGTTCGTTAGTTGCGCCTCTCATCGTCTCACTGGCGTAGATCTCATGTTACCCAGTTTAACAAAGTCTGAAACCAACCACACACGTACGCTACCTGTTGCTTCGCATTGAGAAAATAGCGCCTCAATCAATCAACGATGGCTAGTTACCTTAACACCAACACCCAAACCACCCTCAGTCCTCCCCGGCCTTCATGGGTCGACTTGGCAGATTTCGGGCTGCCAAGCTCGATAGAAACCAGCAGCTATGTGCCCTATCTGATGGCTATCATCTTATTAGCCTCAGTGATGACCGTTTCACTGCGTAAAAATAAGTTGTCTGCGTTCCCGGTTATTAATGCCTCAAAGAATGAATATCTCATGAGCGGAAGGGCGATGTTGGCCCGGGGTCTGAAAGAATTTGGCGGAAAGCCTTTCAGAGTTAACACCGGTCTCGGCGGTGGCGTCATAATTCTCGATCACAGCGTCATGCCAGAGGTCCGAAATGACGCTCGTTTCGATTCGACGAAGTTCCTACTCCAGGTATGACATCAAGGCTACAGATTGAGCTTGCTGCTTATGGTGCAATTGTTAACCTTTGCTATATTCTTGCAGTACTGGCAAGCTGGTATCCCAGGGTTCGAGCCATACATTGCTCTTGGAACTGAAATTCTGCACAATGTCATCAAATGGAATCTGACACCGGCTGGTATTGGTATGTCGTCTTGACCGATAAACTCGGCGATTATCGTTTTTTTACTGACTCTGGACCACAATCTCCAGCCAAATTGAACAAGCCGTTGTCTGAAGAGGCAAATGCTGCTCTGAGTGATATTTTGACTGATGACGAAGGTAAGTCATTTTCATGAACCTCGCATGACGGTATCAAGCTCTAACAGCCCTTTCTCTCCTCATCAGAATGGCATGAGGTTCTTCTTGGCGATGTAATTATCCGAATTGTTGCCCGAGTGTCCTCTGTCATCTTCCTTGGACCTGAGCTGTGCCGAAACCCCGACTGGCTGAAGATCACAGTGAATTACACCAACAAGGCAACAAATGCGGCCAAAGTCTTACGGCGTTGGCCTGTGTTTCTCTATCGCACCATTCATTGGTTTCTTCCAGAATGTCGTGAGGTTCGCACTATGCTAGTTGAAGCGCGACAAATCATCGCGCCTATTCTAGAAAAACGTCGTGTACAAAAGGCAGCGGATCCAAGCCTGCAGTATCATGACGCCTTGGACTGGTACGAGTCGGCAGCGAAGCGGATGGGCGTTGAGTACGATCCTGCCGATCAACAACTGGCCCTCAGCATCTCTGCCATTCTGACCAGCAACGACCTCATGTCCCAGAGCATCATGGATCTTTGTAAGAACCCAGAGATGTTCGAACCCCTCAGAAAGGAGATTCGATCTGTTCTCGGTGCCGGGCAATGGAAGCCTACGAGTCTGTACAACACAAAGGTTCTTGACAGCGTTCTCAAGGAAACTCTGCGTTTAAAGCCCGTCGCAGCTGGTACGTTTCTCCCATCCATTACTCAACTTTGATCTTCCCTAACCCGCATCATTCGGGCAATTTTCGCCATTTTCGGCAGGGTAGACTGACAGATTTCACAGTGGGTCTCGGCCGGAGGGTTATGGAAGACGTCCGCCTCAAGGATGGCACAGTTCTCCCCCAAGATTCTGGCATCGCTGTCAATGCGGAAAAGATGTGGGACCCGGAGATCTACGAGAACCCGCGAACCTATGATGGGTTCCGTTTCCTGCGACTGCGGGAAGCTTCTGAGCAAGGTGAAAAGACATCCCAGTTGGTGAGTACTTCACCTGAACACCTAGGTTTCGGCCTTGGCATTCACGCTTGTCCTGGCCGCTTCTTCGGCGCCAACACGGTGAAGCTGGTCATGTGCCACCTGTTGCTCAAGTACGATATCAAGCTGGCGGAAAACGCAAACACAAACCCTCTAGAGTTTGGGTTTTCTATGCTTGCGAACCCCACCACCAAAGTCCTTGTCAGGCGGAGAAAGGAGGAGGTGAACTTCTAAGATAGAGACTCTTGTCATCCATGTCATTTATCCCTGGTTTATAGTATCCAAAATGGTCCGAACAGCTCTACGGATGCTCCGTAGTCAGAATGGAACTTCGATGAAGAGTTGCAAGGATCACGCAACCCGCCGGCTCCACAGCGGCGGCAATCATACTTTGTTAACGTGAAAGCCTAAATCAACTCTTGCCGCGAAGACGTAAGAAATCAGTAAACCTTGTTTGACTAACCTATCCTCCAAACGACAAACTACCTCTATTAAGAAACCAGATGGTTATAACGGAACTAGGGCACCAGTGGGAACTAGGGATGGATAGAACACATAGTAGCTCACGAGCAAGATTTGGAGGACGTCAGGATACGGCGTGTACTATATCCCATCGAGTGCCAATTGGCAACAGGTACATTATGCCCAGTTTTGACCCAGTTTTGCCCCCTCACCGCGGGAATACATGACGGTACGTCATCAACCCCTATATTTTCCCAGCTGCGTTCACCACCACAACTAACATTTCTACAGATGGGCAACTGTCGCGATGTCCTCAAGCGACTCTGATGCGTCTGATTCGTCAGCGCTTTCACATATCACCGTCGCAGTACTTCCCGAAGACCTTGATAGCGCCTGTACAGCTCAATGTAGGCCCGAGAGGTGTGATAACGCAAATGTACGCCCACACGAATCGCCTCCGCTAGAAAGGGGCACACCGGGCCAATTCAACCCCCTCGACGTGCCCTACCGCGCCACAACAGTACGGGGTCTATCTACTACCCCTTTAGAGCTTTTTCAGCAGTATGTGCCTTTGAGGCTGGTTGAATCGTGGGTACAGTGGACCAATGAAGCCGCAGTACGAGGCCCTGTTCAACAACACTCACGATCCCACAGAAAAAAGACGAGGTCAGGGTGCCTGCAGTGTGGAGTAGCGCTTTGTAACTCGGATGATTGCTGGTACCTCTTTCATAGTCAGAGTATATAGACAACAGAAGTATCCATAATCTAGGCTTTTTGGTTGGCTAGAAGAAGTCTTGGCTGTCTCCTGAGTGGTCAGTTCCCCTCAAGGGCATGTACCTGTTGCCAATTGGCACTCGATGGGATAGTATATAGCTAGAGCCTGCGACCCTTCACGCCACATACCCTCCGGGGGGTCTGCCGCAAGGGCGGCTGCGCCCTTGCCGCCATGGCGTTAAATAGAACAACAACAAATAGAACAACAACAACAATTTCCGCCCGCCGGCAGGGCAATTCGTCAATCTATCCCCCGTATTCAGGCAAATATCATTTGCACGCGGGTAAAATACAACTCCGCAGAACATTTCTAGTGGCTAATCTACTTGCCGCTAGGCCTTGCCGATGTTCCCTTCCCGACTGATGGGAATGTAGTTCGTGCCAAGAGCCGAGATGGTCCTGACAGCCCACAGGTTACCAGTCGGCTAGCCAAGCGGGCCGCTCCTAAACTTAGTTTGAGACTTGAGCATCTGAAGACGGCACTTGGTAGATTTGTCATTTTCAACTAATGCGCTATTGTATTCGGACTTCATGGGTCTCATCTCTCGCTCTCGCTATGATTTCTTCGAAATATGTCAACTCGCCCTCACCACTTGAATCAGTTCTAAGTAATGATCCATCAAAGAACCCTCGTCACTATCCAAGCTCAGTCTTCCGAACAACCCTCCACAAATAGCTAGATAAGGCATTGCTGTCTTGCGATTCGCCTTCTCTCCATTTATGAGGTAGTAGACAATGAAACAAAGTGATACCAGTAGAAGCTGCCCCATGTTGCCCCATTTCATGCTTGACGACCCAATGTCTCTACACGTACGCAAGGTCAGCACCTTAGTCCCAATTGCGGGCGCAGAACGTACCTTTCAAGCCCCTTTTCCCAGAAGAGCCCGCTATTAGCCAGCTTGACAACCGCAAATGCCGACTCGACACAACGCTCAACACATCTTTCCCTGGTCTGCTCGGCAACGCCGGACAGATCCGCGTCATCTGTGGCAATCGGTGTAATCCACGGACAGTGGATGAAAAACACAGCCCGATGATACATGCAGAAGACACGGAACGCCTTCCGTAGCTGCCGGTCGTCCTTTATGCTTTGGAGTACCTTGGCATCATTCGCCTCATTCAGAGGTGCCGGCAGGCCACTGAGCCATTCGTTGAGAACATGACAGCTGGCCTGCAGTCGATCGCGACGATCATATGCGGATGCAGACTTGTTGAGTGCCCTCGGGCTGTACTGAAACTTGAGCACCGAGTGCAGGAGCTCAGAAAAGGTGTATGACACGGTAATCACATCCTCTCCTTTATCAAATGATGGGAATTGAATCCCCCAGCCAAGATCAAGGATCTATCAGGTATGTCAGTGGGTGCCTCATGATGGCGGTTCAGAGGAGGAATGAAGAGACTCACCGGTAGCATGCCATGGTGAATTGCGTAGTCTGTCTCAAGGCTGTAGAGAAACCAAACCCCCCGTTGGGCCAGCTCTTGATCTTGGTCACTCATACTAGATTGTTGGCCTCTTGCTGCGTGAACGAGGCGGAGGTCACGCGCACAACACACTGCCGCTGTGATTTTCTCCCAAATCGAGGACTCTTCGCATACGTATGCAATCACTGCCTGTTCTTAATGTTAGGATATAGGGCTGATTCCATAGCTCCCTTGCAATAAGCATCATACCATGACCAAAGTGACCTAAAGAGTAAATCTGTCAGCTACATGTATTTATCGTGGAAAGCCGGCATAGGTACACTCACCTGGAATTTCAACAGAGAGCTTGGACAGTTCTGAATGTCTTTGTAGAGACACAAAGCTGCTGCAAGGCGCTTTTGTGCTTCGTGTGTCTCCTCCACGCTTGGAGCTTCTCGATTTCGTAGACAGGCTGTATGAAAGCCGACAGCCACAATGGCTTCCGCAAACACTGAAACAATTCTGTCGGGTTCAGGTTCTCTGGATTGCTTAATGATGCTCTCGACTGCAGATTTCGTTAAGAAGTCACCAATCCTATTCCCGTCCAAGTGACATTAGTTTCGAACGGTTCTGCCCGTCTTCCCCGCATCATAACCACTCACGGGCAGCAATCTTCAAAGCATGCTATGTGGAGCATGTCAGCTACCTCAACTCGGTTTGGTCAAATATGGGACGATGCTCACCATCGCAATATTGTGAAAGCGCACTGTCAGTTTCGGGAAATCTTTTCGTCCTATCGAGAGGGCAGTCTTCGCTTGACACCACTTGACTCTCGCACAGAACTCGCCGTAGACCGTTCACAATTTTGATTGTCTCATATCTTTGATTTTCCTTTCCCCCTCGAGAGATGAATTCAGGAAGACCATAGAGGTTTGCGGCGGAAAAGTCGACGTGCACTGTGGCATTGTTCGAAGTCCGCAATTTGTCTTTCGGGTTGAAAGCAGGCGGAGGAACCTCAGTTGCGTCATCAAAATTGAATAACTGCGCGGTGTCTATAAGTCATCGGCGTTCCTGAAATAGTCGTATCCGGTTTCACCTACTGTGTTGTAGTCTGGAGGGCTTGTCGTTTCTGGCCTGGTGCGAGGTTGACTATCATGCGGCAGTGACGGAGCTGCAATTGGTGACTGGTGGAACTGCTCTGTGTTCGAAGTAGTGAAGTCGAAGTTGAATCCGCCGCTGGATTGGCAGTCAGATGGTGTAGTGTCGAGTAGCTCCATAAGTTCATCTTCCCCCGGCAGTGGTAGATCCAGCAAGTTCAACCGCCCATCGTGCCGCAAGTCCGGGTAAGCCTCTGGCAGTGACAATTGGAGCATACAGCTGAATTCGTCACCATCGACCTTTCCGCTATTGTTCCCAGTGCCCTCTGTTGAGTTCGGTGTCAAGAGAGTAGTATCACGGGGCAGTTGTTGCCAAGCATCGTATACGGGGCCGGTTTGATCGGTGTTGATTCCTAGTCTTCGGATGTTGGGTGTAGTTCTGTTGGTCGCTCCCGGTGCACTTGTCCTTCTTGGTCTAGGAGCTAACGGCGGATAGTAGCAAGCCTGCCCGTTTCGCTAAAAGTCGTAAGCTTAGACCTGAGTTGATTGTTTGGAGGAACCTATTCTTACCTCACAGTTAAGACATGGGTCGGCACCGTCACCTTAAAGATGTCATGATGAGATCAATATGTTGACAAGTCTGAATACTTACATCGGACCTTCCTAGACCTGCAAGCCTGACAAGCTCCTCTTCGACGTGTGATTCGGCGCATGTTGGTAGCTTGAGTTAGGTTTCGCGTGAGAGTTGAGCATTCAAGCTTTCAGTTATTCTAGAAAGAACACCGGACAGCAGAGTTCCAAGTTGAGCAAAGCGTCGGCAGTTGTTGTAGACAAGAGGTCGAGCTGGATGCAAGATAAGCTTGGTCTAAGTAAGTAGTGCTGCGATATCACCAACAGACGAATCCAAACACTCAACTTACACAGAGTTTTGGCTAAAGAAACAAGGTTCCCGTGGCTAACACGTAGGATGCACCAGTCAAGAATGTATCACTTCCCCGGTAGGAAGCTCTGTCTGAAATCACTGTAACCCTACGCTTTCCAAGTTGAGGAATCTAGACTTCCCACATGCAAGCTTCTTTAGCTTGACAACAGATCCTATAGAATAAGACTGTTTCGTCCAGGAACCAGCTCTATCAAAGGCCCGCAACATGACAAAGAAAATGGAAAGCAGCATGGGATGCTTGATTACTCTGAGCCAGCCAATCAAAGTTATTGACGCAACTACTCTTTTTAACTTTCCCTTCCCCTCGCCGCGTAACCCACAACCAACGTTGCGCCATTCGCTCTGGGTGGGATGTGTTCATCACATCAGACGGGCTTGGGCTTTGTGGATGACTCGCCCCGTCTTTGAAGAAATGGCAAGGATCATCAAACCAGAATGTTGGGCTTGGCCCCTCTTGCAGCTAATACATGAAGCTCTATCGAAGATGGTGTGAAATCGTGCCCCGAGTCCACTAACTTCGCGATTACCCGCTCACACCTTGCATGCCGAGGTATATGTCTAGATGAGCCTTGCTTCGAGGCGGAAGCTAAAGCCTCTCTGCCCAGCTTCCAAGAGCTTCCAAGTCAGCGGAACCTAATCCCGCTGCCGCTCGACATCCGGTCTTTTTCTGTAAACCAACTGTCAATCTTGCAGGCAGTGCCGTCGGTAAGGCAGGGGTCGAAAACATGATCAGAGACAAACTTTCACTAATTCCAGTATTGTCAAAACTTATTTCTAGTAGGGCGTGGCTGTTCTTTCAAAAAGGCCAAGAAGCTTTGGAGGGATAGACGCGCCTATCTACTTCCACCTAATTATCAGAAACGTCAAACTTTAAGCAATGCAACCGCGTATCGAGTCAGTCGCCTGCACCCCAGCATCTTCATCCGACTCGGACCAGAAAGTCTGAAGCTTTACCGTCGCAACCCGTCAGTTACGGAAAGAAACACAGACCCTGCGAACCTAAGCATTGCTCCTTTTCCGCCCAGCAAGTCCGATGCGATTCTCTCGGTACCAAACTCCAAGTCCGAAGACCAGCAGTGCAGGGCAAGCAACCGATACCAAGAATAAGAGAAACCAGTGGGCCCGGAATTGTACGCGGATCGACTTATTTGCGTTCATATCGTATCATTTCGGGTTGCCATTATAAGAATTCCCAGTGACAGAGACACAGACCAGCGCCCGTTCGAACTTCAAACCCTGTCGAAGATGAGTGCACCCCTCACTGCCCCTCAACCAGATGCCAGCCATCAAACCCAGGTGGCTATTGCCAAGGAGGCAAAGCACTACGTCGATCACCGGCCTCCCTATCCAGAGTCCATGTGGAAGCTCTGGACAAACTACCACGCGGGCCCTCTGAACGTTGTCCACGACATCGGCTCGGGCAGTGGCAACGCCGCCGAAGGCCTCTTGACGCACACGCCATCGCCTCCCAAGCATGTTGTCTTGACTGAACCGCAAGCCAAGAACATCGAAGACTGTCGCATACGCTTCAGGGACCGGTTCCCTGGGACCGAGTTCTCGTACCGAAACTGTCGCGGGGAAGACCCTTGGGAAGCCCCGGTCGGTGTAGACCACGTCGACTTCGTAATGGCATGCGAGTCACTGCACTGGACTATCCTGGAGCCCACGCTTGACAACGTCGCAAAGAGTCTGCGGGGAAACGGGACCTTTGGGGCCGTCATTTACGGCCCTTTTCCGGGGATCACCAATAACACGAGCGCAAACGCGGCCTTCAATGCTTTCATTGGCGAGCATGCCGCTCATCTCCTCAAGCAAGAGTGGATGACCGAGAATTGGAAGCGCGCCGCTCGTCAAATGTTTCATGGCATGGACTGCGTACCGCTCAGAGACGAAGCTTGGAAGGACGTTAAGCGCATTGAGATTAACTGTGAGGATGGATGGTATGCCAAAGACTATCAGCCCCTTGACGGGACAGCAGATCCGGTGGGGCATCTGGGAGTGTCAGAGCGTGTTGCCATAGATGACAGCGAAGACTGGAGGATCTCAGCCTCGGTCGAGTGGCTGAAGCAATCGCTTGAGTCCATGCGTTTCGGGTTTACTGAGGAGTCATGGCAGTCGCCCGAGTGGAAAGAGATTGAGAATGAAATTGGCGATGGGCCGTTGGAACTCAAATGGCAGGTTCACATGATACTTGCTCGGAAAAGGGCATGAGGCTTGAGTAAGTAGACTCAAATTAGCATAGTAGTCAGGCAAACAACCTTAGCATAGGGTTGAATGACAGGAGTTCCCTGGAATCGGCCTCGGGCGTTATTAGCCAGCGGCGTGTTCACGGAATAGAGGCATAGATTGCGAGATTCACTTGAGTAAAATAAAGTCGGTCCAACTACGCGTATTGACACAGAATTTGACCGTTCCGCACTCACACGTGGCGGTTTTGGATGGTGGGATTTGATGTCAACGTAACGTCCCATGGACATGGGCAGAAGTTCAGGCTGTATTCTCGTTAAGCTTTTTTTGCGTTGTCTAGGATTGGGTGCCTTTGTTCTATGATTTTGTCAACGCGCTGTATCAATATTCAAGGTCAAATGTTGTGGACTGGCAGTGTAGCAAAGTGGCCAAACTTGCTCATTGAGACGAGGCATGTGAAGCCAGCTCCCTGCAGAAAAAGTCCACCGGGTGGCTGGAATCACTCTTGAGTAGGGATGTCACCTTCTCAGTCGGCATGGGTGTGCCGAAGCTCAGAAAGCTTAATCGCGGTTCCAAAGCCCGAGCCATTATGTTCGCTCGAAAAAGAACTCGTCGTGAAAGGTTACGAGGAGTTGGCATGAGTCGCGTTGTAAAGCCCGACGGGCATTCCACAATGGAGTCACAGCCCGATTTGGACTTTGCCAAAATACGTACAACGCCTTTGGGAGTGTAGAACTCATGCCAAATTTTGAAGTGACAATGGTAGTAAGGTGCTCACTTTGCCTACAAGCTGATCCCACGTTACAGTGAGTAATCGTTAACAGAACTTCGAGAACGAAGCGGGGCCGAGAGAGTTGAGGGTGATGCTCAATCGAATACATTAGTTTGAGACCGAAAACGACGAATCCTTGAGAATGGGTCTATCTTAGGGTCTCTCACGCCGGTAAGGTTTGTGACTAAGAATGGAATCCGACAAGGCTTTGAGAGAGAGAGAGAGATGATTGCAATGAATAGCTACTCCTGCCGGCTAGTTGCATCACAATTGAGGCTGTCGACCTATGGGCCCTAAGCCATGGAATTGGTTCACTGCCCGGGCAGTGTTTCTACGTTTCAGAATCAGTGCAGATATGGAATACGCAATTGTAAGTTTCAACTAGTCTTTAGCGTCAGACGCAGAGCATATCTTAACCTGTCACTTTGGCTGAATTTCGCCGAACTCATGCCCTGTTGGGCTTATCAAAGTTGTTCAGTACAGAGACTCGGCAGGCGTTTCCGGCAATGTTAGAATCTAGAGCATCGACCACCCTCAAACAAGTCAAATGCAGGAGCAGTAGAGATTTCGTGAGACGCTTTGTATGAGTTGCGATTCAGCGCTCAGGCACACCATCATTGGGGGTCGATTCCGAACTACCTAGGCACCCGTGGTTCTCCGATTTATCTTCCAAGACTTTAGAATCACGAGTGTCACCAGGGCATTCTGTTAGGAAGGGGGGTTTCCTCACTGCATCGGGACTCTTCATCCATTAGGTATCAACGAGTGTCTAAATAGGTACAAAAGTAGGGAATCCGAGGCCATCATCCTGCTGTAACATCTGTTTCATCATCATTCATCTCAGACTGTTGACTCAATTATTCCCGGTTGAGGTGAGTGTGACTGATTCCAATCTTGTGCTTCTGCTCATACTTGAAGTCTTCCGGCATGTTTTGAGCGACATACTCCTTGAGATCACCAATCTTGTGCTTGGTGGGCTCGTAGACTAAGTTCTCGGGAACGTTGAGTTTTTCGACGATGGAACGCTTGTTGTTGGTGTGCTTCTGGACGTAGGGAGAAGGAGGCTCATAGGCGCCCTTGTACGACAGACTACCAGGTCCCTTGTACTCCAAATGCATGCCAACGACCTTGTCACTGAAGGGCAAGATATCATTGCTGATGATACCGTCCTTGCAGACGGTCGATCCTCCAACGCACTTGGCCTTGTTCCAAGCAGAGTCGGCGGAGCGGGCCCAGATCTCGGTGATGTTGGCAAGCATGTCCGCCGTGTAGAACAGACGGCAGTTGGCGGCTTCATAGATGAACTGCTCCGGGAAACTATCCGGGCGCTTACGAGCGTAAGCGTTGCGGTAGTTGAAGCTACCACCTGACTTGGCGAGAGTGGGGAGCAGGGGAGGGTCGCCGAGATCAGGGAGAACATCAAAGGCAGCTTCGAGAATGTCGGTCTCGTTGGCAGCGATGGCGTCGCTGGCAACTTGCATGATTGCAGCCTGCAGGGACGGCCAGTCGAGGACTTCTGAACCCTCGACACCGCCGATAGCTTGCATAGGAGCCTCCGACGGGCGACCTCCCAGGGCAATCGTGCGGACGCCCTGTTCCCTGACCAACAGCCCGGTAAAGATGGTGCAAGTAGAGGCGCAGATGCCGTCAGTGATGACAATGATGTTCCCTGGCTGGAAGACCTGATCTTCGGTACTCTTGGGGTACCCGAGGCCGGTCTGGTTGTAGCGCAGCAAATTTGTCACATTCTGTCCGGCAATCACCTCAGGGCCGAACAGATATTCCCAGTCCTTGAAGGGCTTGAGCTTATCGTTGAGTACATTCGAAACCAAGTTTGCCAGAACATCGGGAGAAGCTTCTTGGGCGGTAAGTCCAATAGCGTTGAAGGCTTCGTGAGCACGAATGCGGTTTCCGTCCCAGATATCTGTGGTCTCGGGGAAGAGCTGGTTGTAAAGCTGAAAGCCAGCGGCAACAAATCCACCCCCGTTGGCCTGGAGGTCGATGACAAGCTTCTTCTTGCTAGCGGCCTTGGCCTTCTTGAGGAAGACGTCAACGACACGCTTAGCCTCGCCAATCTCAAATGTCCCGTTCGCAGTGTCGATATCTGACGGAGCGAATTAAGAAACAGCCAAGACAGCGGTGTCTTCGTAAGAGCCCTTGAGAAAGTACGTAGAAATCCAGTCACTCGCGTGCTTAGACACTGGGTAGGGGTAGCCGGGAATCTGAGTCGTGGTAGGCGTTGCGCTGTACGCGGAAGAGGATGTAGCAGACGAGGAGGAAGCGACAGAGCTGGTGCCGGTAGGGGGCAGTTCGACCTTGGAGTGAATGGCCTCGGCACTGCTGAGATACTCGACGAACGACTCACTGACAACGGCCACAAGCTGATCCACGTACTCGGTTCCGTTGGTGAACTTGATCACTTGCTTGTCCGGGCAGTGTCCAGGGAAGCGAAGAACAAATTCATTGCCCACACCCTGGAACTCCGTGGCAGGGTTCGTGTTGAAGAGGGAGTTGTACTTGGCGTCGGGATCCTGGGTGAAGACTCGGGAAGACTGTGCCTCCAGCCATTCGGTGATTGGGACATCGTCGATGCTCTTGATATCATAGACATCAGTGTCGTTGACATAAGACTTGAGGAAGTCACTGATGAGATACACTCTCGGGACGCTGAGGCCATCATCGGAAACAGAAACAAGGTTGTTCAAACTGCGGAAAGTGAAGAGGCTGAGAAGGGCTGGGTTGTAGTTGAAGTGGCCATCGGAAGCTTGAGTAAACTATGATACGTTAGATATTGCTGAATGGGCAACTGACTGCGGATTTCACGTTGAATATGACCTACCAGTCGCTTGATATCGAGCGCAAACTCGATCTGACTCTTGTACTTGTCCTTCATCACACGGGCTCGGATCTGGCCAAGTCCCCCAATAACATCCACACCGGGAGCGAGGTAACCCTCCGGGGGGTTGGCGAGGGGCTCCAGAGTACTTTGGAAGTTGATTTATGGCTCAATGTAGTTGAGGAGATCCAAGTCGTTCTGCTTGTCGACAGGGATTGACTTAAGACAGTCGTATGCAACTGAAGGCTTTATTGCGGCTGCAGTTGCACTTGGTCTGGCAGAAAGGAACGATTCCGCGGCTGCTTGTGCAACGGCACATGCGTTCGCCGGTGTTGAAGTCGCATGGTGTCCGCTGTGTGTTGCCTGAGATGTCGTTTGTGTAGGCTTTGCAGAAGCCGCTCCTGCAAGAGCTAGTGCCCATGTGAGGATGATCGCATCTCGACAACCGGTAACAGAAAGCCGTATGAACAAGCAGGTAGGATGATTAATCGAGGCGCTGTAGCTATACTTCGGACACCGACTCGCTTGGGGTAAAGTTCGGGAGAAGCGCCAGGTCTTATATCACAACATCAGTCACCATGATCACCGCCGATTTCTAGTGACAACTGGTCTCCGCCTTTCCCCAGTCTCGACAACAGACAAGCGTGTTCGAGGATTCATGATGGAATAACGAGTAGCCTAAACAGGCCAGCTGAGAGGCTGTGGGTTAGGCAGGACGGGACAGGCTCAGCTTTGGAGTAAGACAACAAGGCTTGCCGGGGTCGACGCTAAGATGACTAGTCTGCATACTGGCGTCGGGGCGACGTTCCTCACAGCCCCAAACCCGGTCACCTTATTCTTCGGTTTCTTGGAATAGCGATAGTGGATGAACGGTTTCTTTGATGGACGATACTTTATTGAATCCTTCGGCGGATGACGCTTAGGTATCCCGGCGGGACCGCGGTGGGTGAATGTCCAAAGATCAGTAAACCGCTGTAACTGTGTACTTGGATTGTGACGTGGATATCGTCCTCACGATGACTCCGCATGAACCCCAATGCGTTGAGAATACCTCAGGTACTAAGTAGTTATCTCTTCCTTCGGTTTGGTTTGCACGGAATATCCGAACAAGATGCGCCGCAAACGTCGGTATATAAGCTCCTAGAACTCCTAACCGACATGGAGTCGTCGCTTTGCCATTTCGGCAGTCGCACAGAGTACATGTAAACACAAGAGGAATGCAGAAGAGACGCGTTGGGCACCCCCGAAGCGCGGTGCGCTAACACGTGGAGCCAGAATCCTCCACGATCGCCGCAACGGCATTAGCTGAACAAGCATCAGCGAGCAAAAGCGTCCCACCGTCAGCAGTCTTGGGTCCACGGCGAAGTCGTCGTTGGCATGCCCATGATGAATAACTCATGTCTATTTCTCAAGTAGTATTAGGGAATCGGCCCAGATGATGTGAGCCTTCCTCATTCAAAGTCATGGTTCACGGTTACTCGGCTCAGAACTGTACCCAAATGTTAAGGTAGCACGGTACTATCGGTTGCGTACAAGGAAGACGAGCTGGCCGCTGCCCTAGCCTTATTTCCGTCCAAACATCGAGACCCAACCAGTCGGTGCATACTTAAGGCAAGTTGAAGATAAGGTAGTTCATCCCTATCCTGTAGATCGACCATTCTACGATTTTGGGCGAATACTCGAGTCAGTGCAGGCCTAGGGTCTGACATTACTGACCAAGAGCTTCATGGCAGTCAAGGTGGGAGGCACAATGAAGATCACGCAACCTGAAGTGACATCATGGTCGCTTTCACGGCTGGCGTCTCAAAGGCTCCCAAAGGCTAATTAGGCCATCAGTCGCGACTCGCGAGAGCCGAACCCGCGCCGGTGCGGATGTCAGGACCGGGAATTTAGAGGTCCGGCTACGGAGTAAACCTGAACTTTTGTAACAATATTGAATAACAGCCAGATCCTCGCGCAATGAGCCTCAAAAGGCAAAGCCGTATCCCCACACATCCAAACAGCTCATCAAAAATGAACAACAACGAGGATCTCTTGAGTCTTGGGGGCGCCTTCGCCGGGTTTCCCACGGGGATGTTGGCGCCCTAGACCCCTTTAGGCTCTCTCCCTTGAGCATGGTGGCTTGGCTTGCAGCTTGCAGGGGGCCGCAGGCTTCCATTTGGGTGCCTTGCTGGTGCTGCCTTGTATGCTATTTTTTGACATTTTCTGTTTGTCATGGTGCACTGCCGGCAGCCTCCCGACGCTCCCGCCCCTCCAGTCATGGTCCTAGGTCAAGCTTCTTGAGCAGGAGGCTGAAGAAGGATCTTAGGTGCTTATGCTTTTTACGACCACCCGAATCGGACATATCTTTCGATAATAAATGGCTCAGCATCTTTTCTTTGCGAAAGAAATTAGTCAGTTGGGGTTGTTGGTCGCGATTCCACTCATGTTTCGCCCACGGTTTCTTCAAAGCTTGAAATGTGGTGAAAGTCCTACTTTTGCCGGATTTCTCGCCTAATTTATTCTGCCGCCCCAGAAGCGTCCAAATGTTTTCCAGACACTTGCTCGATTTCCAGCCGGTGACGCTGGTTCCTGGCAGTGCGCTAGACAACTGGATGATGAAACCTTGACACATGGACAACTTCGGTGGCTCTCCACCAGAACTTTTGCCTTCGACATCTGGACTAACCCCAGGCCCGACTACGCCGGCCTGAGCTTAAGCCAGCACTACCGACCTAACCAACACTGGATCTGGGAAAGACCAAGACAGCCAGCACCAATTAGGCATGGAAGTCGGCTTGAGGTCGATTGCTTTAATCCAGAAGAGTAGCAAGACTTATGCAAGCGGCGCCGCGGGTGAGGCGGTGGTTGTCGAACGTCCCGGAAGCCGGGCCCGAATGACATCACGTTGATCTTCCGCTGTGAGTCGGAGTGTCCGTCTTTCTTCGCATTACCACATGTAGCAAGCCGAGCAATATGTCAGAATTTAGTCACAGATTTAGGGATTCACGGGATTGAGGTAACTATTGAACTTGGAGGGCCTGCTTAAGCTACGTCTGACATCTTGAACATCGACGAACGGAGTTTCCTCCGACTAATTTCACACAGCTTGGTTGGTGAGATTTGCAGCAAGGCGTGCGGTCACGGATTGTGTCCGAAGGATCTACCTCTGATACCCACTCACGCCACTCTAATTACTTGCTAAGTTGCCAAGATACGATCTCACTTGAAATTCAGACCAACACACACCCGAAGGAGACTTCATCAGGGTGCCTATGGTGGATACGATCTATGGCGGTGGCCCTTAACGGAATGCGGGATAAGGTTCCCTCGCGAGCGACACGTGGGCCGAGAATGCGCGCGGCCGCCGAGACCGGATGCGGAACTTGGTGAAGCCGCAACGTTTTCCATCCTCCGCTGTAAAGAAACGCAGATGAGCTGAAGTAGATAAGTGAGTATGACCAAGTGCCTCAACAGATTCTGATATGTCGCGTGGTCCGTGGAATGACCACACGTTGGAGAGATACCTCATGTACACTCGGAGCCCTTCCCTCCTTTAGATCTCAGCTTGCGTACTCAAAGTCTGAAAACTCAGGGCAGGTTATCACGTCTTGTTTATCACGTCAAAGATAACTCCGTATCCCGGCTGGCCTCCCTCTTACACACAGCCTTCAGGCCCATAGGTTCATGGGTTCAACAGAGAGGCAATCAGCTCAATCGTAAGCAAGTTCAACAAAAATCAAAAAGGACTTGGGAACATTCTAGTGAGGCTTCTATCCAAAACACGACATTTTGCTCAAACAGGTACGATCCATCCATCTATTTCTGATAGATGTTCGAATCAAAGTTGGTAGGGAATCTTTCGCGACCTTGAGCATCCTTGTTAACCCACACAGACACCGAGACACCTGGGCACTTGAAAACACCAAAACCCTCATCGTCAATGACCACCTCGCCCTCCTCCCAGCCCAGCAAGTCCGTCCACCGCTCACCGATGTGTTCCTGGCCAACCGCCATGCGAATCTCGCCCGGGCCCTTGTTGCTCATCACACATGCGAGCCCATCCGGTTTATCCCAGGTTGCGCGCCTCACGAATCCGATGCAATTTGCGTCGTCCCAGTAATCCTCCTGAGAACCGTAGGCAAAGAGCTTGCGAGCGAGCATCAGGTCGGCAAGCTTCCCGCCGCAGGATGGTGGCTCTGAGTCCTTCTTCATCCCGTAAAGATCTCCGTAAAAGGAACACGGGTAGCCCTCTTGACGGAGCAAGATGAGAGAGTACGCGAGAGGTTTGAAGAAGCCTTCAATCTTTGTGTCCATGGTCTGACCTGGCTGTGTGTCGTGGTTCATGACCACAGTCACCGCGTTGACGGGCTTCTCTTGTACGAGGCTGCCATCGAAGACTTTTCTCAAATCGCCGCCTTCGGTTGTGCTGATTTGGCTAAAGTTGTAGACGAGCGGCGCGTCGTAAAGGGAGAATTTGTGGTCCATCGTCTCCAGCCACTCCTTCATCGGCTCCGTTTCCGCGGTCCAGAACTCGCCAACGATGAACATATCTTCACCGCACTCATCGCGCAAGTTGTCGATCCATTCGTTCGTAAACCGCTGACTGAAGTGTTGCACGGCGTCGAGACGGAAGCCCTTGAGTCCTAACTCTTTGGTGATCCATGTGCCCCAGTTCTTGACGTCGTCTTGAACCTCTGGGTGTGAATAGTCGATGTCGGCAAACATCATGTAGTCGGCGTTTCCCTGCTCATCGCCAACGGATTGTGACCACTCCTTGTGGTCTCCCATGATCTTATAGATGGCCTTGCGCTCATTCTCCTGGTTCCAGTCGGTGCCACCAAAGTGCTCCCAGTGCCACTTCATGCTGGAGTAATTGTCTCCTCGACCCGGGAAGTCGAAGCCCAACCATCCCTCAATTTCGTAAGGTTCCGATGTCTCTTTGTTGCGGTCGTTCTCGTCAACCTCGACAACACGGCATCGCTCCGTCTTGTCAGCTCCAGCTTTGTGATTCAGAACCGCATCCCAGTAGACGCCGATGCCATTCTCTTTGGCCACCTTGCAAAGCTCAACCAAGTCCTCTTTCGGTCCCCATTTCGTCGACTTGCCGCCTTTCTGGTCGAACTCGCCCAGATCGTAAAGGTCGTAGATATCATAACCGTTGCCCTTTGCTGACTGTGCTTTGCAACCTGGCGGGAGCCAAATGTTGTCAACTCCGATGGCCTTCAGTTTCGGGACGGCTTCTTTCAGGCGCTTCCAGTGCTGTTTGTCTGCTGGGACGTTCCATTCGAAAGCCTGAAACATGGTGTCATTTTCACGAGTTGGCTCCTGTTCATGTCCTACAGAGTCGTCAATGGGTAGTTGAGCCGAGAAGAAGAATTTGTTACAGCTTACCTAAGTCACCCATGATGGCGACTTTGTCGATATTGTTCGCGTAATTACTAGTGGCGTTGGCGATGCGATAACGGTGTTCTTTGTCAACGCAACTGGACTGAGGCTTGGATGAGATGAGAAACAATTGATTTGCGAAAAACAACAGGCGCCATACTGGAGCCATGAGTGCACTCGCTATTAATATCAAATGAAAGTCATTTCGTCATACGTCAAAACGCGAGCCGCAGAATGTCAGTGTCTGCATGGACGCGTGGGCAAGCAGGTTTATCTCGTGGCGCCCTGGCAGTTTCAAGACACTACAGATAAGAAGCACACACGATATCGAGGATGAAGCGCCCTTATTTGCTCGTTGGTCTTGATTGCCTTGACCCCCTGCTAGCAGCAGAAGTGCTTGGGTGACGTCGCTGTGCGCTC